TGGGACACCCGGTTGCTCAGCAGCGATTAGTGTAGAGCAGCTTGACAAGAACCCATTGAAAACATGCCAACTGATCTTTGGATGACATTCATATTTAAGGATACCAGCGACAGATGAACATGCTGTTATGTTCGAGTTGGGTCCTTTGCTGGCCGGGAGGCTTCTAATGGCTTTACAGCCCACTTTATATTGTCCATAACAGTGATTAAAGCTTGTGCGACTGTTAGGAGAAAGGTTGAAAAACAGGACTAGGGTGAGAGGAGTCGTGTCTTATGAATTGCGGGTTTGTGGCCAAAGGAATGCTGATCAAGGTTAGAGGATTGTGGCTGTTGGCTGAAGCATGAATTACGTCTTAGTTTAAGACGTCTGTGGGGAGTAACACTATAGTCTGGGTCTTATAAGACTAAATTCAACGACGGATTCACAAAACATTTATGTGATGTTGTTGATGAGAACCCTGAGACTGTATATTGACGAGACTAATTACAACATATGGTCCAGTCGCAGTTATGGACGACCCAAAGTGGGCTGTAAAGCCATTAGAAGCCTCCCGGCCAGCAAAGGACCCAACTCGAACATAACAGCATGTTCATCTGTCGCTGGTATCCTTAAATATGAATGTCATCCAAAGATCAGTTGGCATGTTTTCAATGGGTTCTTGTCAAGCTGCTCTACACTAATCGCTGCTGAGTAACCGGGTGTCCCAGTAGTTGTTATCTTTGACAATGCGCCCGTTCATCGGAGAGCTTTGGATGCGCAGTTAAATGCCAACCACCATGTCCGACTTCTCCCACCATATAGTCCCTTTTCAATCCATTGGAAGAGGGAGCGTCGCAAATGTCAAAAGCAAAGTCTATCTTACGGTCCAAGATTACGATCATTTTTTAAAGATTCCAAGTGCATTAGTAGATCTATGTCTACAAAGGATTGCCCCGTGCTAGAATCACATTCTGTCCGGAAAATCTGCTCCAGTAACGATTGGTATCTGAATAAAAAAATATTAATTGCTTAAAATAATGCATCGCAAAGGAGTGAATCCCACAGTCACAGATGTAACTATATCGTGGGAATGAGGTAATATTCATTAAGAGGGTAACCTTTAGATTCTAGGGGGTCACAGATGGGAGGAAAATGCTGCGTAAAGCACGATGTTTCAATGCTCTTTGGAAAAAACGGCCATTTGATCACCGCCATACCACTGTCTTCCGGAGTCGACTGACAGAAATGTTTTAGCACTGCTGACCGGGTAACCATCAGCAAATGAAAGCGAAGGAGAGGGATCACGTGGACAAGCTCTGAGGAACAAAATCCGTGATGATAACCGTTGAAAAGAGTAGAAAATCGTTTCAAAAACTGAGAGCTTGGGCGGAGATGAAAAATCATGAGGTGCGTAAAAGATAGGAACTCTTCCTGGATCCACTCAGTGTGAGAGACTAAGACAAAATAGAGGAAAATCAGAGGTCAAGTAGAATCGTATCAATGTAGGTCGAAGTGAACAACGGGTTAAATTTAAGCTATGAACTGGAGTAGTCGTTTGGATCTCACCTTGCATCCCGCTTTAGTTTGAGAAAAATATCGATTTCCCAAAATCTGGAATATACATGATTAGAAAGAGATTGAGAGAAATTAAACCAGAGAATGGGAGCAAGATCCGTCGCGCAAGTCTCGAGCATGATTTGTGGAAAGTCATTTTGGCCGAATAGCTTGAACGTATCTAGGGCAACTGAGTATTAGGTGGATGGTTCCGGTTGTAACTTTCAGAGAGAACGCGGATTCATCGTGGATAGTGGGTAATACAGGCATGGTTTATGGAGGTGTGTTAGATTTGGAAAAAAGAAAGTAAATACCGCAAGCATTGACGAATACATTACAATTTATATAATAATTTTTGTTGGGAAAAATACTGGCTCTAAATGTCTTTGTTACCCTTTTGTTAAAACTATGAATTTGTGTATTCTTGTTTGCGTGCAGGTTCGCGAATGGAATTTGCAAGGTTTGCCCAGGGACGGTTTCTCGGTGGAAAACGGTGTGATTGTGACTCGCGGAACACGTTGGCCACTCATGATTGATCCGCAGGGTCAGGCTCAGCGTTGGGTCAAGTCTATGGAAGGAAAAAAATTACGCCTGATTGATTTACAAATGCCAGACTATATACGCGTATTGGAGTTGGCCATACAACATGGCTTTCCGGTGTTGCTACAAAACGTACAAGAGCAACTAGATCAAGCATTGGATCCGGTATTGAACAAGTCACTGATCAAAATTGGCGGGGTTATGATTATGAAGCTTGGTGACAAAGAAGTAGAATACAATGACAATTTTAAGTGAGTTTAACTTCCCGAACAGTTGTCCCAGACACTTCCATTCCAGACATTCCATTTTCATGTAGATGAAGTATTTCATAAAGGGCATAATGGGGGTAATGAATGTGTAAAAGCCGCTCAAAACTAATTTACATTGCATTCATCAGAAAGCGTGTGACCAGTGTATGGATAAACGAGATCTCAATACTTCTCTCGATAACGCTCCATGTGTCTAGTTGCATTGGTTGTTCCATTAAAAATGTTGCGATAAATTGTTTTGCCATACGTTTTTAAAGATCATTAAGTTCATGTGATTGCACTTCAGCAACCCGTCGGAATTCATCATCAACAGTGGATCCAATCCAAACAGGTCCTGCATTATGATCTAAACAATTTTAGAGGCGAGTCAACCGATCGGATTGCTTCAGCCAAATTGTCAGTAACTATGACCTCACGAACACAGATCACACCTAATATTCAGTTGTAAAATCTTAATGTAGCGTCCAGAATCCTGGTAAACATATTTTTCTCTCAATAGCATCGTATCACAACATGCACTCCCGTCGTTTTCCTCCAAAGGTACAGCGAAAGATCCTCCTTCGATAAATACAAGGCGTTTGTTCTGTACTTTTCTTGCATTTACAACACAGATGTTTGCGACTCAAATGATGAATATATGTATTCAAACAACACTGCGTGAGAAGTATTCGGTCAATATGTGCCATGTAATTACCCTGATAAGCCCTGTCGGGATGCTCAAAGGGAACGACTTTCCCGGACCTTAATCATAAAGTAGAGGCTATAAAACAAACACTCTTATACCTTCTCTAGAAATTCCCAAACTAAAAGTTTATCGGTTTGAATTTCGGCAGGAAAGCAGACTACGTGGGGCTGACGATTTCCAAGGAGGATGAAATAACTGTATTGCACTCTTTGTTCCGGAGCGCACACAAAATTCAATTGCATTCCAGTCATCAGTTTGCACACCATTGGAGTTTTCGTGACAAGGATTGCACTTGGATTTGACACAGGAAGAACGCATGCTTGTGGGAAAGCCGATAGCATCAATAACGGTTGGGAGAAAACAAATTCAAGTGTGAAGAAAATTAGAAAAGTAACAATAAAGGAAGAAGTAGTGCGAGAGCGAAAAGGATTAGAGGACGACAAACTCGATTCTGGATAAAAATCTATCACGAAAACATCAGAATCACGAAGCATCAGAATCACGCCCGAAGTAGAAACTATAGAATTTTTACAAGATTCATATCGAACACGATTAGTCGTGGATTATGTTTAAGGTTTATTGACTGGTAGATTCCAAGATGTTTTTCATGTAATCCAATTGTGAATCACCAGCTTCGGCCTGATTGAAACCCGCTTATAGGTGCCGCTTAATACGGACGATTGGGTGCATCCATTCAATGTTGTCTCGTCCTTAACAGAAGTGAACAAATGATGATATGGTTCTGGCTGATCATTTGAAGAGCAACGGAAAAGGTAGTCAATAGAATAGAGCGGTTCAATTTCATATAGTTCATGTATAGGACTAGAATGAGAATAAAAGCGTGATTATATATATATCTATATCTATATAATGCACTTCGCTGCCCAATCGAGCCGATGGTTACTGCCACAACCGGGAAGGTGTGTGTGGTTCGTACGCCTCCTCTTGGTTGGTTTGGAATCGGGGTTTTTGGTTAAATCCCCTAAGTGAACTACCAGTGGTTCGAAAAACCGGTTATTGCCCCGGAAGTCGGCTTTTCGTCCTCTCATTTTGGTGGGAAAATACCTCCTTCACGAGAAAGCAGTGGGTATTGCTTCCTCAGCAGAGGTTATTTGAGACGCTTGGTCGTACGGGGGCATTTCTCTAGGTGAAAGGAAAGGGTGACCAGCCGCAACCCGAGACACCCACCTCGACCATACTGAGGCTGATAATAAAAGTGCATCGGTATCTCCGAAACCCTAAAACGATTATATTCCAAAAGGCTCAAGCTGAAATCGCAATTTCACTGTGTTGACAACACTCTTACAGTACACAGTCGATATTCACGATCGATCCCCAGTGCTTGTCTGACCCATATTGGAGAACAAGGGAATAATCATAAGGTGTTGAAGTGCTAGCATAAGATTACTAAAGCAGCGTACCTAGTTTCACTTTCGTTAGTTTTGGTCCTCGGCTGTAAATCTGCAGTCTCCAGGTTTGTTTTTCGTCGCTTGCGCAGTTAGTCACACATTTCTGAACCTAACTATGTTATTGATTATATAATACGCTGAATAACACTGCTTTGCACGAATGAGGTAGATCATAGCTGAGTTGTGTCATCATTTCACTCACTCATGTGCGCTAATCGTGACTCGCGACTGGAAAGGGACTTGAGTCGATTATCTTGTGAATTTCGTCGTGCAATGAGCAAATGAAGCGTGAGCTGGAAATCCGGGAAGCATTGAAGTGAGGTGTGATGCTTGGGTAAAAGGAAAATCAACAAAAGCGGTCCAATCAGCTACCCGGTGGCTGAGTAGGTAGTANTAGGTAGTATGCATGCGTTCTACCTGTGAAGTCCTGGATTAGAGTCTGGGTAGACGGATTGGCACTACTGATGAGACCCAACTAGGTCGCAGCAGCTGTCCACAGACGTCTGACGCCAGACTTTGCCAAACAAATCATGGTACAATAATCTTTATAAAAACAAAAAAGTTCTGTGGTTCACACCTGGGCTGAATACTACCAGGTTGACCAGGCCAAGGCAGGTGAATTTCCTTAAGGAATTCACAACCAGATCCTTCGGCTAGCTAAAGCTTGTTCCGCAAAGCAGCGGGGCGGTGTGCGGAAACCGTAGTCCATTGGGGGCCGGTGTCCATTTCATCGGATCATACGCCGTTCGCATAGGATCAAACGTCCAAAGTGCCCAATACACTGGTTATAAAACTAATTTTGACTTGAACCCTTTAGAATATAACCACTTTGGGGTTTAGGAGATATTGATGCGTGAGTACACATCGATCATATCATTGTTGATATATCCCCTCTTGTCAGCTCGGATACATTTTCATAAACAGTTGGAATAACATGAAACGAACAAGCTGAAAGACAGTTACTGAAACTCATCGTGCCAGCTCTTTCAAACTACGTGTCGATTAATGATCTACTAGAGTCCATTTATTAGTTTGTTTCCAAAGACGAGCTGGGTAAACATGTATTCGGTGAACTAATTTTCAACTATGTACATTCATATTTTCTACTCCTCTTCTGGGACATAGCAAAGCTGATCCTTCTGATGTGCAATGTGACAGAGCGCACAAATCCCTTAAACGCCAGCTCGTCAACAGCCTGCGGAATTACCACGAGAAGCGGTAGACGGGGAGCTGAGGAGAGATAAAGAAGGTTACGGCTATCGGTAGTAGTCGCATTCTTTTTCGTTTAATTGAGATAACGAGCCCAAGGATAGCAGGCGTAAGTGAGGTAATTAAGGAATATGTCGGCACACTGATTCACATTCAGCAACGCCATCTTGAACGATGGGCAGAACATTTTAAGGCTCATTTCAGCTGGACTCCGTCAACAGAAGACCTCCCGTACATGCTTGAACTGGGCAAATATTGCTAGTTGACATCAGTCCTCCATCTGAAATGCAGGTGGTTCAAGAAGTAAAGGTATAAGGCTTTCGGCCCGGACGGGCTGTTCCCATCTATTTTTAAAGATGGAGGACTAGCTTTGGTCTTGGAGTTAACGAAACTCCTGGGCTCAATATTGGAAAGAGAAGAGGTTCCAGCTGAATGGTGTGAATCGGTCATCATACCGATTTACAAGAAAGGTGACAGGTCCTCTTGTGAAAACCAAAGAGGAATTAGTTTCATCAACATTGCCTCTAAACTTCTCGCCGGTATCATACTCCCTCGATTGTCTGCCGCACGCGAACGGTGCGCGCGTGAGAACCAGGCTGGTTTTAGACCTGGTCGAGGTTGTATTGACCACATCTTTACTCTTCACCAAACTCTGGAGCACCGAAATTCCTTTCATTGACCCACCATCTCTGTCTTCCTCGATCTGAAAGTGGCTTTAGACTCAGTCGACCGCTCTAAACGTTGGTGCTGTCTCGCTCTAAAGGGCGTGCCAGAAAATTTAGTTACAATATTACAATCCCTTTATACTAATAGCCGAAGTAGAGTCCGATCCTACGGCACTTTTTCTCCCCAGTTCATTGCAGAAAAAGTTGTTCACAGGGTTGACTTCTCTCTCTCCTTTTCTATTTAACTTTGTTTAGATTTGATGATGGAAGCGGCCTACGCTGTTGCGGGGATAGTTCCATCGACTTAATCCCAGGTGGTGGACTGTTGGATATGGGGTATGCAGACGATATTGTGCCACGAAGTGAAGATCCAGGCCAGCTGCAAGCTTTTCTGGATAGTTTTAGTGCTACTGTATCTATGTTAATTATACGTTTGGTACCTACAAAGTGTGAAATATTGCTACAAGATTGGGTTGTCCCAACCTCGGACTCACCGGGCTAGAGAAGTGGACAATTTTAGCTATCTGGGCGGCTATATTTCACAAACAACACGAAAATATCAAAATATGTACAGCGAAACACAAAAAATTTTGTTATTCCAGATATCTTCCATTTTCCCATGTTTAACTGTTTCACCCCCTTTTCATCCTGTTCTGTACTCCAGTTCATATGTTCCCTTTCATTGTTATGGTAATTATTGTTTTTGCTTTGGTACCATGCTTGTCTACAAGCAGGCGGTAAAATATATAATATATATCTCACCTGGAGGACGCTTAACAAATGAAGTATGCAGAAGGATCGGTTGACATTTGTCAACTTGAGATATCTGTGGCTTCGCTGTGACATGCGACTGTCCGTGAAGGGTCTACCCAATATTCTTGCAACGAACTCTTTAAATTCCCCTTAAATACGCCCTCAACATTTGAATCCTCATTCTGCTCTTTTATCCAAATGGGTGACTAAAAGACGGTCATTCAAACCGGTGCACGAAATTGCATGGTTAATGTGTCAAAATGGAACTGAAACTAAAACATTCATAGTCTAGAATCAAGTAGAGTCTGAAATCTATTGGCTCCCTCCACACCTCTTGGGAGTAATACGATTTCGGACGTGGGCTGTGTGGGCTGGAAAATTTAATTGGGGCACCCTAATGCTCCAGGTCAAATAACAACATTGAACTGTTAGTGATAACAGACGATGAATTTATTTCCGGTTGAATCAATGGTCATATTTTGTCGTTTATTTGGCCTTATATATGTATATATATGGGGTTGTAACAATTAGTGCGGTTATATTTTTTCCAACACTTCCATTGTGTCTTTCCGTAGATTTTACATCACTACCAAACTACCGAATCCGCATTATACGCCAGAGATTAGCTCGAAAGCAGCACTGGTCAACTTTGCAGTAAAACAACAGGGCTTGGAAGCACAACTACTCGGGAACGTGGTACGCAAAGAGCGTCCGGAGTTGGAGGAACAGAAAGATAGTTTAGTGATTGGAATCGCTGCTGGGAAACGTAAACTGGCCGAATTGGAAGATGAAATTTTACGCTTGTTAAATGAGGCTCAAGGATCATTGTTGGACGATGAGCAACTGGTAAACACGCTGCAAACTTCCAAAGTAACATCTTCGGTAAGTGCGTTGGGAGCGATATCATCGTTCTTCATTGTCCAACATGAGTAATCCCAAGTGTGATCAAGTACAGGCGAAATGCCAAAGTTAATCAATTGTAGCTGTATTTAATAGATTGTACAACGACTAGTTCATAGAAAAAACATCGGAAATATTCATTTTTTTCTTCTGCTTTCTAGTGAATTCTATAGATAAAAATGTCGAACTTTTACACTTATGCATGCAAACTTGGATCCGCAGTTATCCAATCTCACTCACCGTCCCCAAGGGGATCCTGTTAAAACGATAAGCTGGACCAATTAGACAAACACACAAGCACGACAGGAAACACGCGCGCGCTAGCTGTGATCTGATTGGACGATCATTGAGCCAACTGAAGGCCATGAACTGACCAATCAGCAAATCAAGAACACAGTCATTTGGTTGTTTTGAGATTTCTTTTTGTTATGATAGATTTTTCAGCTGTATGTTCGCCCACGATTGATGCGATAATGCGAAACAGTTGAATTCAACCTGACCTGCGATGATGCTTATGCCTTCATCTACGAAGTTGCTAAAGGAAACAAGATATATAAATTAATGGAGTTCTTTGCTTTTTATTCTATTTATTATTTGTTTTCTACACCGCGGTTATCGAATCTAACAACTGACTGGGCTATCTTGGATAAATTGCAATATTATTTCCGATTGAGAAGATTTCAGATTTAAAAATTATTGACTGTATTGAATATATGGTTCTGAATTTGATGGTTGATTCTTTTGGCTATCCATAGGATAATAAAACAGTGGAACTCAATAAGCTTCCAATGAAATAGAGTTGAATTACACCCAACACATGTAGTGTAATGTAGGCGCCATTAAATCTTGATCGCTCAAATAGGGTGCCATCTGTAAACTATTTCTAAAAGATGAACTTTCTCCCTTTTGTGTCACAACACACCTTTTTCTCTGATCGAAACAGGAAGTGACGGAACAACTTCAAGTGGCTGAAAAAACTGAAATCCAAATTGACACCGCTCGAGAAGGTTATAGACCTTGTGCTCAACGTGCGTCCATTCTGTTCTTTGTACTAAACGATCTTGGCCGTATTGACCCAATGTATCAGTTTGCTCTGGATGCCTACATTGATTTGTTCAATCTGAGTATCGACAAAAGCCCGCGGTCCGGGAAACTGGATGATCGTATCATTCATCTGAACGACTATCACACGTACGCGGTGTATCGTTACACGTGTCGCGGTCTGTTCGAACGTCACAAATTGTTATTCTCCTTCCAGGTTTGCATAAAAATTCTGGAAGCCGCAGGCAAACTGAATCAAGATGAGTACAGTTTCTTTTTGCGCGGTGGTGTCGTGCTGGATCGAGAGAACCAGTTTGACAATCCCTGTACTGGTTGGTTAAGTGAACAGTGTTGGGATAACATTACAGAATTGGAAAAATTGGCCAATTTTCACGGTTTGGTTACTTCGTTCGAACAATACCCGCGAGATTGGAATGCCTGGTTCACATCACCGGAACCGGAAAACAGCGCGTTACCCGGTGAATGGGACAATAACACAAATGAATTTCAACGTATGCTAATCGTGCGTTCTTTACGTCCGGATCGAGTCTCATTCTGTGCGACTAGTTTCATCACAAACAATTTGGGCAGTCGTTTCGTCGAACCACCCGTGTTGGACATGAAACAGGTTGTCGAGGATAGTACCACACGAACACCCCTGATTTTTGTTCTCTCAACCGGTGTCGATCCTACTACCGGTTTACTTCAGTTGGCTGAGAATTGTGGAATGGGTAAAAAGTTTAACGCTCTATCTCTCGGACAAGGTCAGGCTCCCATTGCGACACGTCTGATCCGCGAGGGGATACGTGAGGGCAATTGGGTATTCTTGGCGAACTGTCACCTATCGCTGTCCTGGATGCCACAGTTGGACAAAATTGTAGAACAGTTGGCCCTGGAAGAGGCCCATGCAGAGTTTCGCCTATGGCTTTCATCTAGCCCGAATCCTGCGTTTCCTATATCAATTTTGCAAGCCGGGATCAAAATGACCACTGAACCACCCAAAGGGATACGTTCCAATATGAAACGTCTATATCATTTGATCAAGGTGAGTTGACTCAAGTCATGTATCCATAAGACGGTCTGGGTAATCCTGTCAATAGGTTTTATAATTGCTAATAGATTGATAATAACTAAGTGTAAAATATACGGTTGCATGCAATGAAAACGTGTGTTTATTCGGTTCAGCGTTATCATTCATTCTGCTCTTTTATCTAAAAAACAGCAACCAATACCGTGTGTGGTTAATGGTTGTAAAAACTGGAACTGAAACTTAGCGTTATCAGAGGCCGCTAAAAACTGACAAATCTAGACACGGCAAGGAAAATCCACATTTCAACAACATAACATGAATCCGGTTATTTCGGATGATCATCAAAGGCTTAACAACAAAAGTAGGAGACAGAATATCAGAGAATACACGTCAAGCGACCACATGATCAGCAGCGAAAACAGATTGAATTTTGTGGTAGGACTGACACCCCTGTCACGTGTTCATCCACCGTGATTGAATCTCCTATCGCGTGTTTGGATTTTTCCAATGGACGTGATACCCTGTCCCGTCTAACTTTGTTGTTGTTTAACCTCCTACTATCAGCAGTATATTTGTGCGGCTGATTAATAGTACTCAGAATAACTACTTTTCCTTTATCCTGCTGAAATATGGTTTTATTTGGTGCTAATATTTGTAAAGGCAGCTGAATGTAATAAATGGTACATTTTTATTTGGTCACAAACTCTAACAAATACTATTGAAATTTATTTAGATATGTTAAATGGTTATGATACATTTGCATAACACTGTGGGCGTATCATTGCTATGAGAGGATTAATTGATTGAACTATTCCTTTCGTTTGTTTTTTAACATTGTGACTTTTTACCGGAACTCCCTGGTAATTTGAGATCTTTTGAGTCGAATACTGGAACACAATCCATCAATTTTTTTCTTTCGCCTAACGCTATTTCTCGATTGTCTATTAGGAGGACCAATTTACCACATGTCACAAACCGGAAAAGTACAAAAAGCTGCTCTTCTGTCTCTGTTTCTTCCATTCAATTCTACTGGAACGTCGTAAATTTCTCATGCTTGGCTGGAATATTCCGTATGAGTTTAATGATTCTGACTTCGAAGTGTCCGAACACCTGTTGACCAACTATCTGGATCAGTATGAAGAGACGGCATGGGAAGCTTTGCGTTACTTGATTGCCGATATAAATTACGGTGGTCATGTAACTGATGATTGGGATCGTCGACTATTGGGCACATACATTAGTGAATATTTCAAGGAAGATGTACTGAAAGAACCATTCTACAAATTATCTTCGTTACCACACTACTACGTGCCTCGGGATGGCACACTGAACGCTTATCGCGAATTTGTCTCTATGTTGCCACAAATCGATCATCCGGAGGCATTCGGGCAGCATCCGAATGCGGATATCACGTCACAGATTCAGGAAACCAGAATGCTACTTGATACACTGCTTTCTCTACAACCCCAGGTGAGTGCAATACTACAAATTCAAACATAACGGCAAACTATCGCAGAAATTCCAAGGCTATTTGTTTCCTTCGCCTGGCAGGGTTTTAGAGAGTAGAGTAGGGAGATGATGAACTCTCACTTTTAAATTAATTGTATAAAGTTTATTTATTCAGTTCAGTTCGATTTTTACCCTTTGATGGCTTAATTTTCCAGCGATTTTGTTATATTTTATCATCACGATCTTCTGTATAAATGCTTAATTGAACGGAATATTCTCTATAAAACCAACTGTCCTACCCCTGTCGATTGCATTTTCGATACCGAAGCATTAAATGTCATCCGTTTATCTTTTTCAGGTTTCCAGTACAGCTGGCGTGTCTCGTGAGGACAAAGTCCTAGAGCTTATCGATAATCTACAGAAACAACTGCCTGAAGATATTGATTATGAAGGTACAGCCAAAATCTTTGCCAACGATCCTTCTCCTCTGGTGGTGGTTCTACTGCAAGAAATTCAACGATACAATGCACTGCTTGACTTAATTCGAACTCAACTAATTGATTTGAACAAAGGAATTCAAGGTTTGGTGGTGATGTCTGCGGAACTGGAGGCGGTGTTCACAGCTATCTTTGACAATCATGTACCGGAACATTGGGGAAAGGTATGGTAGGGGAAAGGATGTATGGCCATTTGTGAATGCTTTTACAAATTATTTATTTAATTTGAATAGACCACATCAGAGTCCAGTTGTTATGTGGACGGGAATGATGTTCACCAAAAATTAATCATGAGGCTAAGTTACCGTTGATGCAAAGTGGCAGGCTGCATTTTATTTTCCCACGGTACAAATACTGTGAGGGGCCTACAAGGTGAACAGTTTTGTGACTCACACAAAATACTTTTATTTTTTTATTAGGTGGTCAGTTTATTCCTAGGGTCTTCGGTTTCTTGCTCGAGTGAAGTTCAAAGGAGAATGAACGAACCTAAAGTATCTCCGTTCGTCGTTGTCGAAACGCTTTGCATCACAAAAGTGATTGTCCAAATCTCATTTGGCTGCCATCAACCACCTACCGGGGGTGTGGGTGAATGCACAGTTGCACTAGGAATGTTAAGGATGAGGAACTCGGTCTATCAAACGATAGATATATGATACAAAACAAGGAGCAAAGTTAAGTGTCATTGGTGAAGATACTGATCTCATTTGCTTTGCAAACCTTCGTTTTCTTTGATCACTTGTTATCTATGGGGGCTTTGAGATAATTACATCTTATGTCTTTTGTGCACTCGAAATTTCTTTCCGTCGTATAATTTCCCGTACCAGATTGAATTCTTTCTCGTTAGCTGAAAGTGAATGAATGCTAGTTACAAATTTGTGTCACACTGCACTCTCCGTTAGCAACGCAGTGTAAAAAACTGAAAGATACAAATTGTGCTGACATTTAAAGAAGATCGGTTTATACTTCTCCGGGCCCAAAATAACCACCGTATCATTCTGATTCCTATTGAAAATAGCTCAAAGTGCATGAGATTAAGTGCTAATCTAACCTGCCGACCGTCCATCAGTGCACCAGTGGATAACATACTGAGCCGTCACCCAGTAATATGTGAAAGGTCTCTAAAAGTTCCTAAATGGGTGCTTCGGTTACGCTCCCGCGTTGAATCTACGCTTTCACTGCCTTACGGACTGGACTTTTGAGTCGAAGGCTCTGGTCAGGGTTTCCGGAAAAACCCATAATCGGTCAGGGCTGCTGTGAAGTATCGTACTCTAAAGGCACCCATTTGTAAAACCCTCTTTCTTATCTGTCTGTTCTTTCTTCTCACTCCCAAATAATACAAAATACTTTCTGTTTACGCTATCCATGGGATATTACTCAGCGTTTAACCAGTAGGGTCAACCAGTCAAAAGCATTGATAAATCCGAATCTCTGCTTTTCTTTTCTGCCCTCAACATCCACACACTCTATCAGATCGGCCAGTATACGGCTTTAACTGGAACTCTTGAGATTTTCAATTTAAGTGAATGATGTGTCTCCGAAGCACTCAAACAAGACCCCTCTTCAAATAGCGCCTTGCTCTCTTCAGATCCAATCTCATGCTCACGCCCCACTCTCCGTATGTCAGTTGACTGGGTATCCGAAGCTGGTGTTGTTGCTGATGTCCGGATTGCGTTAAGTGCCAAGATAGAGCGCTCACTTTTTGGCTGGATTCTAATTAGTAGACAACCTTACGTAAGGTTGTCTACTAATTA